ATCATCGGCACGATTGCCATCGATTTGAGCAACGCTTTTGACTGTCTTTCACACGATCTTATCTAGGAGAAACTAAAATTCTATGGCCTAAGTGATCATGCGTTATCTTTAATGCGTAGCTATCTCTCCTCTCGTTATCAAAGAGGAAAGCATGGTGATACTTTATCCACAAGGCAAAAAGTGTCAAGAGGGGTCCCATAGGGCTCTATTTTAGGACCTACAGTATTTAACATATTCATGAATGACCTGAAAACCTAACCCAGATAAATATCAGGCTATGGTACTTGACAAAATAATCGATTCTTCTCTTTTACAGTTTTCATATGATAAATTGTTGTATATTTTTAGTTTTGAATTTTAAATTTTTAGAATATAATTTTTTTGGAATCTTAAATTTTGAGAATATAATTAGGGCCGTGGATTACGTGTCGTATCGTATTCAGGATAGGATGTATCTCCCTGTGCAGGGGACCGGTTTCCCAAACATTAGGGGTGATTATTGAGGTCATTCAGACTACTGCAATAGTATCACAATAGCTTGAATACTATTGCAATGGTAGTATTGCGATATAGGCAGATTTAGCAAAGACAACGCAATGTCAAATTAGAACGCGAAAGTCACGGAAAGGTCTGAAAGGCAACTTCCAGTGCACACGTTGTCAATCTGCCATCGGTCAAGCCATTTTTTAGACCAGTGCAAGCCGTCGTCACTGTCGTTGCGATATCTTTGCTAAATCTACCTACCTGCTAGTGCGATAGTGTCATCCACGAAAAATCAGAAAATTAAACGGACAGAGAGATTCCACTATCCGCCACAATCTCGCGGTAATATAGCTTTATTATTATTTACTTTTTTATTATTTTTTGCAAGACAATCATGTCAAGGAAGTCTGCGTTCGAAGTCATGAACTACAAAACTCCCTTCTTGGTTTCAGAACAAAGAACAAACTGAACAGTAAAGAAATAACATGCCCCAAGAAAAAGGACCACAAGATGTTAATTCAAACCCATCGTCAAAATCGATAATTAAGAAGCTATCGGATGCTGTATCGTTACACTTCTATTAAAAACTCCGATAATTTTACATGCATCAAACGAAAGATTCCAACCAGCAGTCTGGTTTGACTCGACTTCCTGCATCCGAAAAGGTCTTATTTCTTTACAGAAACTTCAGTTTTCATGCTCTCAACAATAATAGCAATATAATATTATATTTACTGAAGTTACCATCAACTCTTTTTTGTTCCAGGGCTTCTGTTGGTAGTTCCTTTGCTGGCTCCTCCGCACTTGTCCTTAATAAATCCTTAGCGGTCTTTGCAGCAATCTTATGATCAAATACTGTCGTGTGCTCAAGAGAAGCTGGATTTCTCCACGCACCTGTTCCAGCATTCTTAACCGCAGGGATCATTTGCACTCCATCAGTACTGAGTTCGGCCTCATTAAAAGGTTCACCTCTTAGAGCTTTACCAAGACTCGTTTTGCCTACACGGTCCTGCCCAACGAGCAAAACTTTGACACGTTTGTCACATGTGCTACCACCAGTCGCTAGGGCCCTGTGATAAGCAGCAAGTGCTTTTTCTCCCCTAGCTCGCACATAGGCTGGAATTAAATCTGAAAGTGTTAAAAAATCAGTTTAACAATAGTAGAAGAAGGAGGAAGAGGAGGAGGAGGAGGAAAAGAATTTTGTTTGATGTTAACTACAAAAAATAATAATAATAATAAAATAATTAAAAATAATAATAATAAATTAATAATAATAATAGTCTTTATTAATTCAAAAGATTTAAACTACATATCTTATGTTACAAAACTTCCAATTTTGAACTAAGTTACATTGTAATAATTACAGAGCTAAATTATATTTAAACAATAGCAAAGCTAGGCCATTATTTAAAGATTAGTCGATTAACATAGGAGTTCTTCACTTGATCCGTGTTTAATTTCGGCCAGTGACTAGATTTGTATCTTAGATTGTATTCTGTGACCTTCAGTTAGGCAAAAGGTCTCTCAGAGGGTGTTTCTCTTGATGTTTTACCTCCATGAAAATTTCTTATCTTGTTTTTCTTATAGGTCATAAATGTTAACCACCTTAGATATGTATCTCCCCTTGTGACACGGGTCCAAAAAACACTGTACAGTCGTTGGCTCTGCGTTAACAGCACCGTAGACCGTCGGCCCCTTATCATCAAATAAGAGGAGAAGGGGCCGAGTATTCAACTGAACTATGATATTCTGTTACATATGAGCGTTGTATGAGGTACTATACAGTCGACCTCCATGTGCGACCAACTCCAATAAGCGACCATTTATCCAAAACACCAGTACAAAGCCTTACATGTGGAACCTCTCGTAATTGACAACCTTCTCTAAGCGACCGTGTCCACTTGTTGAGGTTGACGGTTTTATATTGTTTTTAACATCTTGTAAGCGACCACTCGTCGCAGAGTCTGATCTCTGTTCGCTGTTTGTACGATGCTTCTCACAGTATACAGCTCTGAGTTTGCATTTTATTAGTCAAAGATTGGAAACTGATCAAAGACAGCAAACTAGCAAATCCTTCCTCACCAGCGTCACCAACACCGTGTGCCACTTTGAAATGAGAATGAGGCATGCGCCACGCGACAACAAAAGTTTAATGTGTTTTAAAACAAACACTGAAGTAGGGACCTATAAAAGGACTTGTTCTACTTTGGATCAAAGTTAACAAGCACTGAATTACGCTGATGTTGCAGAGAATTTTCCTTCACAATAATCGACAATACGCTGTTCTACTAACCAACTTCTGGTGACTGTTCGGCCATCCTTGATTGTCCAGCTGTTTGTGTCTCCCCACTTATAGTGGACTGTCCCATCTGAGAAGTGCCTGATCCAACACCTTCAAGTGATTGACATTTAACATTCTCATTGATTTGGTAATAAGTCACGCTAGAGTATAGTAACCATGTAGAATGCTTTTTGATGTCTATTTCTCATCACTGGCCCTCATGGCAGGCGTTAAAAGGGGAAGGGGAAGAGGAGGGGGGAATTCGGGCACTTTTCCCCCCTTCCTCTTCCCCTTCCCCTTTTAACGCCTGCCACGCACGCTATCCCATAACCTAATATCAGTGACTTTCTCACAAAACGTGTTATATCTACGCTGAAAAATATTATGCAAATTGATCTGCATTGTACAAGGGGCTTGAAGCTTTAGGGACAATCAACACACCAGGAACAATGCTATGTCATTTGAACATTAATAGCATCCAAAACAAATTTGAAGAATCGACAGACATGAATAAAACCGTAAAAGCGCACATCATAAACAGAATTTAAACAAAGATTAATGATGAATTTAGCCTGCCTGGTTATTCGTTATATCGTAATGATAGGAGAAAAGGTGGTGGTGGCATCTTGGCCCCTATCTCTACTGCCATTCCCTGTAAGAGATCAGAGACTGACTGTCACTACCAGTGTTTAGAGCCAATCATACTCGACATTACAATCGGCAGGACAAACATCATAATAACTGGCCTTTACAGACTGCCTAGACAATTAGTAGGAGCATACCAGCAATTGTTAGAGGAAGAACTGAACCATATTTGTAATTGGGCGTCACTTCCACAGGGACGCGGTGACTGGCATTGGTGACCTTAACCTAAACAGGCTAAGGCCTCAGAGAAAAGAGGGCAAATTACTTCTGGATTTAGAAATGAAGCATGATAAAGCAGCCAACTAGATTGGATAGGAAAGGAACTACAACAACATCAACGCTTACTGATTTACTGCTAACTAACAGACCAGATCTGTTTATTAGAGGTAGAGTTTTTGACCCTGCTCTAAGTGACCATAGGCTCATTTATGGTATAATGTGAGAAAAAGCGAAGAAACACTCACGCAAAATTATTAACTTCAGAAGTTATACAAATTTTGATCCTGTAAAATACGAAAATCTCCTAATTGCGGCACCTTGGCATGTTGGAAACCTATTTGATGATGTAGACGACCAGAAGGAGAAGCGAGTAAGCAACAAAGACATAACCTACATGAAGACAGCATGGAAAAACGCAATCCGAGCAAAGAGAAAGGCATTTAAGAGGTACTCTAAAATTCCGAAAATAAGCCCCGGGGCTTATATTTTTCAAAGGCCCCTTTTGAGCGGCTTAGTTTTAGAGGGGCTTATATACGGAGGGAAGCCTGCGTTTCAAAATCGGCTAGGCCTTTACTTGGAGGGAAATTTGCGTCTTAAAGTCGATTGGGCAAGCTTACAGTTGGAAGGACATTTATATCAGTAATGTACAGAAAGTTTTTACTGACACTTGCCTTGAGGACGTAGACCTTTCTAAAACACAGCCATGCAAGTATCTTGTCTACATTTACCGAGGAAATTTAAGCCAAGAGTGAAGGGGAACTACGCTAACAGCAATAAACAATGACACTTTCTGACTGCAATCATTTGGCACACGTAATAGTTCTTTGGCAAGTACAAAATTTATATGTTTTTGCTTTTGTTTTATTTTGTATTTGAGGGCAATTTCCAAGTACAAGTCCCCAGAGGCTTATATTCGGACGGGCGATTTACCGGGGGAATTTTTTGCGTTACGAGTTTGGGAGGCTTATATTTGGAGGGGCTTATACATGGGGGGCTTATTTTCGGAATTTTGCGGTATTTCATATTTTTGGATAGAAGTCTTTCTTAAAGACGTTTTAGGTCTCTTAGGCCCGGTTCAGACGCCGAACTTTTCATGACCCGAACCTAGTACATTGAATTAAGTACATAAAAAGTTTGGCGTCTAAATCAATCAGGAACGCCTGTATTAATTTGGAACGGCTTAGCCGTTCTTTTCGCCTAGCCCGGCCGGGAAGTTTGGCCTTTGGAGTGACTTTGGAACGGTTTTGATTCAGACGCCGAACTTTTCATATACCGACCCTAATGCATAAATTATTAAGTATTTTGTCAGCAGTTTGACCGAAGTGAACATTTTTCTCCTTTTAAATTTAGTTCGGCTGGGATTAAGATCGGCGTCTGAACCAATTCAGCCGGTCTAAATAATTTGGGTCGGCCTTAATTCGAATTAGGTTCGGCTCATGAAAAGTTATTTGGAAAAATAATTTTCTTTTCTACCCACGACATTTACCCACACCCACGAACCACGACCCACGACATTTAGCTACACTCATTTTTCCCCTTGTATAAAAAATTTGCATACTGATGCAACAGAAGCAATTTTGGTTGGCTGATTCGGCAAATGTCAATCAGTCAAAAAAGTGGGCGGCAAACGTTTAGACGTTTCGTGGAAGGTTTGTACAAGGCTCTCTTATCGTTTCGCCTTGCCCGCCGGAATGTTATTTACAAAGCGAAACGAAAATAGAGGCTGATCTCAGGTTAAAAGACCGGCGTCCATTCTCCTTTTTCCAGCTGCTTGGCCATTGACCATTGGTAATGCACGAATAATAAGATTCGCCAGTGGTATAGCAAGTTTTAGTACTCTAGATGGCAGATTGTCACACTCGGATGCTTTTCTCGTGTTAAGTGTTAAGTAGTGCTTTTTTAACTTGCACATGATCTACTGGTTTAGACTCTATCATTGGTTCTGAGGAATTCACTAGTTGTACTTGCCGAGTGCTTGGATGGTTATTAAAATCGTTCTCTGAGGAGTTTCTGATCTAAACATCCCCGATCTCATCCGCTATTGTTGCAAAGTGATCTGCCAGTATCTCGCAACAATTTCTTGGTTGCTAATGATTTTTCCATCAACATTTAAGTTATTAACAGATTCCTTTACCCCTTTCCCAGATCTAAGGAACGGTTGAAAAGTCTGGAAAAAATTTCTCGGATTTTCTCGAAGGTAATCAGTCTGTTTCTTCCAATTTTGCCGTATAGCAATTCTTCTTTGCCTAACTGCCTCATTGCGATTTTTCTGTATATCTTCCCAGTTTTGTTGTGTTCTATCATTTAGATACCGTAAAATTCCGAAAATAAGCCCCTCCATATATAAGCCCCCCAAAATGGTAACGCAAAAACCCCTCCGTTAAATCGCCCCTCCGAATATAAGCGCCCTGGGGGCTTGTACTTGGAATTTGCCCTCGAATACAAGCAAAATTGGTAAATTTCCTTCCCACTACAAGCTAGCCCAATCGATTTTGAAACGCTAATTTCCCTTCGTACTTAAGCCCCTCCAAATATAAGCCCCTCAAAAAGGGCTTTTGAAAAATATAAGCCCCGGGGCTTATTTTCGGAATTTTACGGTATCCAGGGAAATCTTTTAGCCTGAATTTCAGGCATCCCTTCGACTCTAGAGAATGTCGGAAATTCAGGCTGGGAAATCTTTTTATGTGAGGTTGTATTTCTCGTGGTACTTGCCTGCGAGAACTGCGAAAGTAATTAAACCGAACCGTTTTTGTTATTTTGTACAAAAGAGTCACGGTTTTAAAGAGAATCTTGTGTCTGTAATAGTTTTCACATTTCTGATTTCCATGTTTGTTGATCAGTTGTTACTCGTGGATGTGTTTTCGCAGCTCTACTATTTAACTTATGCCAAAAAACAACAATGTCGGACTTACGATTTAAATCGTTAAAATCATGAAAAATCGATAATATCGATTTGACACAGCAATTTAGTTTATCGATTTTCACTGATTTCCGTTATCAATCGATAAAGATCACTTGATTGCTATCGATTTTTATCGATACCGATTCTTATCGATTGACTACTCCGGGTATTTATATACAATTTCAATTACTGTACTTTATCATTTTTTTCTATACTTTTTTAACCCACGACATTTACCCACACCCACGACCCACGTCCCGCGACCTACGACCTCTCACTCGGGAAAGGGTATCCTAACCGGTTGAATAACAAAATAGCTTTCATCTTTTTTTCAGCTAAAAATAAAACAGTCAGTACAATCAAATTTAACTTCTTGCGAGATTAAAGGAGATCTTGAAGGTTATTTCTGTTGGCGTAGAAGGTAAAAAGTTTTCGAAAAGACGGCGACACGATGTTCTAGTTTTAATACTTTGGCAAGGCGCGCTCGATATTTAAAATACTCAAATTTCTACTTTTCTGTTGCCTTTATATTTTCCTCGGCAATTTTCCCCGATTTTCAGTACATAAATCTTTAAAAATCTTGGAGACATATAACGCGAGCTTTTCAAAGGATATATAAATTATCTCAGAACAAACCAGACAAGTTCTACCTTTAATTTAGTCCCATGAGTACACTTGCAATATGCGAATTTAATAGAAACAACCGTCTGAATTTTTTTTTTATATAAAGCCGGGTAAATATTATCTGCAACTTTGGAAACACGAAACGACACTACTAAAACTGCATGCTCAACTGACCCATGCAAAATGAAAAACAATATTACAGACACACTTTGTAGTTCTCTTTACCCTGCAAGCAGTGGTTTCTCCAGGCCGGACGCTACGCTACGAAGGGAGAGAAACCACTGCGAGCATCTGTCGGCTTCTTTGATCGAGCCGCCGTCCAGCGGTATGGACGAATAAATTAACTTTAAACATGTAAATCCTGTTTGAAAGCAAGTTTAGGCTCCCGCGAATTTGCTTACGCTTACAATTGCTGCCTTAACGCGAGCCTGCTGTGAATATTCAGTATTTCTTTGGATTATTTACTCCTATCTAGTTACTTTGTCAAATGTAGGCGAACCCAAATGCAGTTGAATTCCAAGGGACCATATCCACGTTTAAGAGCGAAAAGGAGAATAATTTGGTCGTTGCTTGTTTACGTTATCCATAAAACGCAAAATTAGGCATCTTCACGTCGTAGTCGTGCAAAAATGGCAAAGAAATGCAAAAATAAAAGCGTGATGCACCGAGCAATGTTGCCGTTTTGCTTATTAAACCTATTGTTTTGTTGAAGTTCTCGTTGCCGTCTTCTGGTTGGATATTCGTGGTCATCACGTGGACGTGCATGCTCGATGGAACAGCAAACGGTTGCTGGCAGAGGTTTCTTTCCCATCGAATCGTAGCGTCCGGCCTGAAGAAACCACTGCTCGCAGGGTAAGTACTCTTTCGTTGTGTTGTTGTTTTACTGCAGGTCTGAATAGCTCGCTAAATTTATTAATCGAAATTAACAAACAGCAAACAGCCAGCGAGAGAGGACACCAGTTTTCCTGGTTTACTGAGTTTTCACAAAAAGCGAAGGCAAGCAACAAGTCTGTTACCTTAAGACTAGCAGCACTAGCTTTTATAACAAAAATTCCTTGAACAGCGATACCATATTTTTCGTCTAACACTTCACAGCTGGCAATTGAGGTTTCTTTCGCAATGAGCCTCAGCTTGCGTACCATGCACGTTCAGAGAAGTCATTCCCGGCTAAATAGTCCAGTAGCCGAGGTCGGAAAATTGTCGTTTCGTTCAACCCACGGGGCAGTAAAGGTTTGATGCTGGATTTTGGTAGAACAAGACATCTTGATTATTGCTAATATATAGATTTAGCCAGGGCTACAAGCGAAGCTCCCATTAATAAATTTATAATTTAAATCTAACAATAAATTTGTAATCCACAATTCAGTCAACTCAAGGGCACATTCATGTGACTTTTGAGGGAAAGGCTAAGTTATTTTAGATTGAAACATCTTACATCGAGTTGATAGCCTTATATGTACACCGAAAAAATAGCAAACATCTTCGATCACATTCAAGAACCATAATGGCTCTTGATCACAGTCGATTAGGCCCCGAAAACGAATTCTTGGAAAACAATCAGGCCGAATTTTTTTTGCGTTCGACAAGTTTACTTTAGAAAATCTTGCCAACAAATCTGTGAGTGTGTAAACCAACCTTTCATACTTTTTATACATCACATCTGAGGTGAAACAGTACTATTTATCACACAGACCTAGGACAGAATGCGCACAATTTTTCAAGACAAATTGCACTCAGTCAATATTCAGTACGATCAATCGTGGGCTTTTAGCGAAACCGTTCAAAAAATTTCCAAAATCACCCATACGGCAAGCCGGTTCTCATTTTTAGTGTGAGCTGTCAGTGTGGTCGAGTATTTGAATGAACTTTAATAGAGTTACGCTTCAGCAGAATAACGAATGTATTATTACTTTTTTTTGTTATTTAATGGTTTCAGTTATAACGATGTGTAATCTAATAAAGAGTTTGATATGCGCGACATTTTTGAGTACTCCTGCGAGCGATGTTCATGAACGATGAAAACAAACGGCACGGACAAGCGAATAAAATTACAAGAGAGACTACTAACAATTAATAAAAGAAATATGTTTCGGTGAAACATTTACAGAGACAACAATTTTCATTCACGAAGACAAGTATTAAAGTGCCTCTAAAATCCTGAGTCTTTACAACTGTAAGTTTAAAGCGTAAGCTTAAGTTAATTACGTTTTACTTTAAGCAGGCCTCGCGGTGTTTGCTTTTTTCAAAGATTAAGTCCTCGAAGCAAGAAAATCGCTCAAAGTTTTCTTTCTACAGCCAAATTTATAACTAAATATTCTTCGGAACGTTTTCTTTCTATTTGCGGTGAGAAAATATATCTGAAGGCCTTTTAAAGTTCTGTAAGCTTATATCAATCCTGATACTAGGTCAGATAATTGACTCAAATCTTACAAACGTGCATAAACTTGCCGCATAAACTGTGCTCGACTTCATGGAATAAGATATTACAAAAACAAACATCAAATACAATAATTACTCAGGCTTGCCATTCGAGATTCAGTTCCTGAAAGCTCTCAAGGAAGGCCACAGTTGCTTGAGACTTTTAAGAGCAATTCTCGAGGAAAGTGAAGCAAAGTTGGAAATGAAAAATTTTAACCCCCCTTCATTTTTTGTGTGGAGGTAGGTTACCTGGGGGGATAAACAAAAACAACCATCTTTTGATCGGTAGATGTATCGTTGCCATGGTAACCGCACTTGATCGCGTCGGCCAGACGTCTATGTTTTGACCAAAAAATTCACTCTCAAGAAGTAAAAATAAACGAGTCTGGTTCTCAGCGGCACTTGAACCAATTCAAATGAAATTCATA